TACCACCTGAATTTAAGAATCATCTCAGGAACAGGTTTGAGGCCTTGAACACTAATGAGCGAAGACCAGATGAGTTGTGGGAGGATGTCAAAGATACCATTCAGGAAGAGTGTAAACGGTCATTACAAATACAGAAGAGGAAGAAAAGACCAAAATGGATGTCAGAAAAAACTTTGAAGATTGCACTGGAGCGTAGAGAAGCCAAAGCACAAGGAAAAATTCAAGATACTAAAGAGCTGAACAGAAGGTTCCAAAAGGCTGCTGCGAACGACGAAGCAAAATACTACAATGAAATGTGCGAGGATCTAGAGTCGGAAAATCAAAAGGGCGGAACGCGCTCAGCATGATCCTTTCTCCATACTGTTTGCTATTAGCTCATCTCATTTGATGATTTAGATCACATGAGATATTCAGAGAAAAAAGAACAGCTAAGATAAATTATTTTGTTCAATGATCAGGAATGTAGTTAATATAATTGATAATAGGAAACTTTTTTACATGCAAAATAATTGTTAAGAATTATTTTCATTTATCCACGTTACTGTTTTGTCTCATGAATGAAACTGACGGAAAACTTATTGTACCACTGTAAGTGGCTTCAAGATGATCTGGAGAGTAGACTTAAAATATTGAAATTCTGAAGTGTTCATATTATAATTTGGGCTTTTAAAAAATTTGATGTGAAATGTATAGTATATATTCTCTCTATTAGTTTTCTAACTTATAAAATGAGAAAACTAATACCAACATTACTTCCTAAGAGAATATTATAAATTTTCAAAAAGTTCTGATGACATGATGGCCCATTAAAATAAATGAAGATTCATTATTATGATAGTTTGTTACACACATAATGTAGGTGATTGTTCTGCTAACCTCAGATTACTTTAAATAGTTATTTCTCCCATGACATGTAAGTAAAATCTTTGTGCTTCAAGAAATACTTAATAGTTTATGTAATAGTTCTATCTTAACATGTTTGGTTGAGGAATTACAACATGCTTCTTTTTTTTGTTTGTTTGTTTTAACCTTGTCATCAAAATTGCCCAAGTAAAAAGCACTCAATTAATTAATGCTGATAATCCTCCCTTCCAAATTTTACACATTCAAAAAGTATGGAGACTGTCATTATTAAAATAGAAGCCTTTTTCTTTTTTTATTATTAATTTTAATGAATGTTTACATTTACTTTGGATTTCCATTAATTCATTATTACATTTTTCTTCATGTCCACCCCTTCCTACCCCCTAATTCTCTCTTCTCTTTGAAAAGTAAAAGGAAAATTCTGTCATTGTTATACAGTCCCTCCCCCCAAGTCCACTTCACTATGCAGCCTTAATTCTGGACTCCTGTTATGACAATAATACCTAATCATATATCGCTTTCAAACAGTTTTCTCTACCATCTGTTTCAATGCAGTATGCATAATTCATCCTCTCTTTCTCAGTCTCTCCTCAACCCCGATGTCAGTCTCATTTACAACAGTGGCACTATGCAATATTTGTCCTTTTATGACTGAGATATTTCACTCAGCATAATGTCCTCCAGGGTCATCCATTTTGTATAATATTTCATAAGTTCTCTGTTTTTCAATGCAGCATAGTATTCCATTATGTGAACAGACATTTCACCAAAGAAGACATTCAGATGGCAAACACATGAAGAAATGTTCAAAATCTCTAGCTCTTAAAGAGATGCAAATAAAAACAACTATGAGATATCATCTCACTCCAGTAAGAATAGAAAAATTTAACACAGCAGCAAACAACAAATGCTGGTGAGGTTGCAGAGAAACTGGGACCCTTATTCACTGTTCGGGGGAGTGTAAAATGGTGCAACCACTGTGGAAGGCAGTATGCACTTCCTTAAAAAGTTGTAAATAGAAATACCATTTGACCCAGCAATCCCACTGCTGGGAATATACCCTAAAGAAACCATAACCGCCACCCAAGCAGATATATGCACACCCATATTTATTGTGGCTTTGTTAACAATAGAAACCTTTTTCTATCATCACACGGTCCAGGTTAAAATGTGCTTCCATAAACCTCTGCAAATTATCACAAAGGGCAGTCAGAAAGGCCACAGAGCGGTTGTGAGCCCACTGGACATCAACATGCTTGATGTGTAAAAAGAGAAGCCTTCTTACCTAGCATGCAAACACATTTGGCACTCTGATCAGGGTTCTCAAACAAGATTTCGCCACACCTCTGAAAGAGAAAGGATGACATAGTTATTTTAAGATCTCATGTCAAGATTCCTGACAAAACATCCATGCAACCTAATGACCACATTATTCCACTTCTCATGTGCTCTTTGGTTCCTGGAGTCAAGTGACTTACGTCATGAGCAGAATGTTTCCAGGTAGTAAAACCTTTTGGAAGTAGATGGGGATGGATGTGCCTGTATGCCTGATGGAGCCTGCCTAGGGCTGCTTCTGTGTGCTTTGATGGGGAGTCCTGGCCAAAGATACACTCTGCTTCCAAGTGGCTTCTATTTCAGTGAAATTATGCAATGTACTAGGGTTCCAGTCTGAGGTTAATCACTCCTCTAATTGGTCCGTGTTCAGCACCTAAATTAGTCTAAAATACCCACTCCACAAGCAAGCATAAATATTTCAGAGCACTAAGCTAGGTGACCTATACTTAACTTTCTGCACTTAAAAGGGGGAAACTGCAATCAAGAAGTGATATTTTTGATGCAGGACTTAACAATGGTTTTCCTGAACTCAAAGTATTATGGAAATAACAATTTTCTTCTCTCTAGCTTGGTTTTAAGTTGCTTATTAAAAATTTGTGCAAAACAAACTCCAGAGATAAAAGAATTCATTTAAGAATAATTCATATTTATGTGACATATAAGTCATAAGTTGGTTAGTATCCCAATGTATAAATAAATCCTCCAAACGAATTAAAAATTAAGGAGTAATTAAGCAGAAAAATTTCATAAAGGACATTAATAAGCAATTCATGAAAGAGGCTATCTTAACAATTAATACATATAAGTATACTCAGTATAATGCAATGCAAAAATAAAATGATGCCTATTTTGCACTCACTGGTTTGGCAAAATTTAAAAGTCTAGCAATACCAAGGGTTATCAAGAGTATAGATAAATGGGTAAGCTCACACATCGTGGAAGGAGGCAGAAAATGATACAACTACTTTGTAGAACTGGTATAATATAGTACAGTGGAAATGTAAACATCTTATGACATAGCAAGTCATCTCTGGAGTTTTTCACTAGACACAGTCTCATATACTATTTTAGTGTAAGGCTATGTTGTTGCTGTTGTGTAGCGTTGAGTCAGAAACGAGCCATAGCTGACTCTGCAGTAGGTTTTCAGAGGCATTTAATGGCACTGGAGGAGACTGCCCATCCTCCCGTAGAGCAGCTGGTGGATTTGAACCACATGCCTTGGGGATTGCACTGCAGTTTTTTATCACTAGGCTACCAAAACTACAAGGCTATAGAACATACAAATAAAATATTACTCACACATAAAAACATTACACAGCAGTTAAAATTAACAAATTAGAGCTGTGTTAGGGAGCTCCAGTAGCCTAGTGGTAAGCAGGTGCCCTGCAATCCCAAGGCATGAAGTTCAAACCCACTAGTTGATCATGTGAAAAGGATGGATAATTTCCTTTCATGCTATTTACTGCCTCTGAAAACCTGTTGGAGGGTCAGTTATAGGTTGGTTCTAACTGAACGGTACATAGTAATGACAAACATAAATGACACATAAAATATGTATCTATAAAATGTGAAATATTCAAGTCACACAAAAGAAATACAATGCAAAGTACAAAATATGTGTAATGCTTAAATCATAAAAAAGTATCATGTTAAACATAAAAAAGCAAAAAATTTCAAATATCCCCGCCTCCAATATGATAATTTTTTCTGTGACTTTAAAAACACCTCAAAAGAATAGTTAATGGACTTACAAGTTGTGAATACACTTATTTACAGAAAAGCTTTATGACATGTATTAGAATAATAAACATAAAACTTAGGGTGGAAAAAAGAGATAGAGAATGATGCAATGTTTGAGGGCACACAGGGGTATAAACCTTTCCCATAATGGCTTTTCTTTAAGTGAGCTGAATTCCTTCTGTGCCTGAAACAGTTCATAATACAAAGGGGCAGCTCACATTCACAGCACTGAATATATGAATGGCTCTGCTGTATTGTGTATATGGTGTATATGGCTTCTCTCCATCCATCTGTTTTTGGGGGCTGATGATCTATTTGGTAGCGAAGTAGACTATCTGTCACAATGATTTGTTTTCTCACTTATTTCCTTTGCCCTTAGGGAAAGTGAGGACATGATAGGTTTGTACACCTTCCCTTTTCTTTCTCTGCTCCTCACTTGGTTAATTCCATTCCAATCATTCTTTAATACTGGTATAGTTAATGTGTTACAAGACAAAGTAACATCTGGCGAGAAACAATTCCTGGGTATGTAAACTTGCTTTAATCACACATACTTCAGTGATCCTTTGATACAAATAGAAGAAAAATGAGATCTCTCTCTCTCTCTCTCTCTCTCCCCCTCTCTCCCTCTCTCCCTTTCCTCTCTCCGGGCAGCAGAAACGCAACCGATGAGGATGAAATTCTGCTTTGTAAATCTTCACATTGATAGCCTTGGCAACTCTATGGGGCAGTCTTACTCTGTCCTCTGGGGTCCCTTTGAATCAGAATTGACCCTATTGCAGTGAGTTTGAGTTTTGGTGCAAAGAGGGGCAGGAGGAGAGAGGGTAAGAATGGTTTGATTATATTCAAATCAATCCATTTTTAAAAATATAAATAAAAACTTGTGCACAAGCAGACTAGTGATTGGCTCAGGGATCTACAAAGGAAGAATGTTGCTTTGAGGGACCAAGAAAACAGAATGGCAGTGATGGAGCTTAGGTGCATGGGATGCTGGCAAGAGGGCACTGCGTACTAGATGGAGTCAGCATTGCAATTTCTCTTCCCAAACACTCAGTTGACCTACAGTGACATTTCATCATGTTATTTAATCTCTTCATGCTTCATTTCCTTATGGGTAATATGGGGTTTCTAGTATATGCCACAAGTCAATTATGAGAGCAAATGTGAGGATAAATGACCCGTGAAGTCTGGCCTTACTATCTATTCCTGTTTTGCTTGTATTTTGCCCAGAGCATAAACTCTTTTAGATTGCTAGGATCAATTTCCTGTGTCACTGACTTTTTTTTTTAAAGTGGTATTTTTTATGACCTTAAAAAGTTAATAATTTAAAAAAAATCAAGGTCAGAGTTTTCTAAAATTCTTTCAGGGCCATTCTATATTCTGGGTTCTATAAGGATGTAATAGTGAGGTTCTTTGCTGATTCAGCAACAGGAAAGTCTGAAGCCATTGCCTTAACCATTCGGCTACCTTGTCCACATACACACAATGTAGGCAGCAGAAACTGCAACTGATGAGATGGAATTATGTTTATGTGAAGCTGATACTTGAACCAGGAGGCAGTCATCAAAACAGAGCAAGGAAACACTGAATGGTTTAAAATTGGGAAGGGTGCATGCCCGGGATGTGTCCTATCTCCATATACATTTTGAATCAATATGTGGAAAAGATCATCTGGGAGGCTGGGCTCTATGAGGAGGAATGTGGCATCAGGATTGGAGGAAGGCTTATCGATTACCTGTGCTTTACAGATGACACAGCCTTGTTTGCTGAAATTGAGGAGGACCCGAAGCACTTGATGCAGAGGGTTGATGACTGCAACCTTCAATATGGATTGAGGTCAACATCAAGAAAACAAAGATTCTCACTACTGGGCAGATTGGCAGCATCATGACAGATGGTGAAAAGATTGAGATTGTTAACAGCTTTAGTTTGCTTGGCTCCACAATCAACACTCTTGGTATTAGCAGCCAGGAAATCAGAAGAGAATTTCAGGAAATCAGAAAATGAATTGCATTGGGAAAGTCTTCTGTCAGGGACCTTGCCAGAGTACTAAAGAGCAATGTGGTCAGTCTGGAGACTAAGGTGTGCTTGATCCAGGGCATGGTCTTCCAATTACGTGCTATGCGCCAGAAAGCTGGCAATGACTTAGGATGATAGAAGGAGAATGGATGTTTTTGAGCTGTGGTGCTGGAGAAGTGTATTGAATATACCATGAATTGCTAGGAGAACAAACAGGTTCTTCCTAGAGAGGGTGAGACCAGTTTGTTCCTTGGAGGTAAGGATTCTGAAGCTTCATCTGACTCTGACCTACTTTGGACATGTTGCAAGGAGGGACTAGTCCTTGGAGAGGGATGTTATGCTTAGGAGCGTGGAGGGACAGTACAGGCAAGGAAAACCATTGATGAGACAGATTGACTCTGTGACTGAAGTAATGAGGGTAAGGGTGTCAGAGGCAATAAGGTTGGCTCAGGATAGAGCAGAGCTAAGAGCTGTTGTACATAGGGTCACTATGAGTTGCAGGTAACTTGATGTCACATAACAACAACAACAGCAACAGCAAAGCCTGTTGAGGTACAGCCGGAGAGCAGAGGTTTCCAAAGGATGGCAGGTGGAGGTTATAGAATTTTCCCTGAACGCCCAAGGCTCAAGGGCTACTTTACAGTGGGTACTCAACAGGCAGAAAGGATGCTGTGATGGGGATTCTACTCTTCTATCTGGCAATGTACAAATCCAGGGCTGATTTCTGCAGGATAAGTATACATTCCTTAACAGTCTTGGCCGACTCAAGTTAGATAAGCTAGTCTCTGAGCATGGAGTGAGTACGGCAGCCCTTCTAACCATGATGTAGTCAGCTTCCTCATCGTGGTCTCCCTGGCAGTTTGGGAAGTACTAAAAACACCTTGGACTAGTTCTCAAAGTGAGTCCTTTATAAAGTTACCTGATGATGGTAACAGATTTGAAAATAATGCCCAGAAAGGGAGTGGATTGTTCTTCAGCCTTGAAAGAAACTACTCTCTTCTCAGTGCTATTTTTCATTGATGCCTATGTTTATGGGGCCTTTGCTTTCAGATTCCTAGAGTGCAGCCCAAGTCTTATGTCAACTCAGCTGCTGGGTGGCCTTGACTTCATGCCTGGCTTTGACCAACAGGCCTCTGCCTAATTCCCAGGATCACAGCTCTACTTATGGGGCCAGGAGTGGGGAGCAAGGGATGTTTATTTTTGTTTTGTTTCCTTTTCCAGAACTCATGGGATGAATTTGTCCTTTTTTTTT